GGGAATCAGAAGTATTCCTGTGCCATAGAAATTCTGCTCAATGTTCCTGGAAGCAGAGGTGAGGTCTGGAGAAAGGGAGGAATTTATTCAGGACACTTTTATGAAATAACCACATTACATTTCCTACTATGTATTCTCACACCTTAATGACTACAAGTTGCCATTATCCATAGCATCGCACTTCTGCAGAGGCCTCAGAGAGAAGCAGGAAGCATCTCTTTCCCAAGTTATCAAGTTGTGGTGTTTGGCACATAGCATACAGGAAAATTTTCTTTGAACAGAGAAAAAGAAGATCTGTTCTGAGTCAGTTCTTGTAGTGGGACACTCTTTAGGGGCTTTGTGACCGTGGGAAAGTAACAGCTAGTTTCTTCCTTTGTAAGACCAAAAAGAAATGTGCACACGTGTAGTTTTACTACATATGCACACGTATTTCATCTATTCTCTCCAAGAACCTAGCAAGAGCACATGTCAGGTGCAAAGAACAATATCCTGACCTAGTTTAGCGCTTATAATATGCGGAAAATTTTGTTTTGTTTAAATAATAAAGCCTGATATAAAGAATCATGTGTTTCAGTTCCTTTTTATCTCTCTCTTTAAAGCTTTTTTTTTTTTTTTTTTTAGTACCAGGACTCCAACTTGGGACCTTGAGCTTTCCTGGCAGGCACTTGTGCCGCTGAGCTATATCCCCAGCCCCTCTTTAAAGCTCTTTACAAGGATCTGTAACACATAACAATCAGATATGATCTCCTAAATCTCCCAAATTTCAGTGCCACCAGAAAACCAGAAATCTTGCTTTTTAAATTCCAAAATTAAGTTATTTTCACATCACAACCAAATCTATAGTGGAGTCAGCTCATATATCCTTTTTTCTTTTTTGACACCAGTGATTAAATTTTAAAGAGCTTTTCATTAGCAAATAAAAGTTTTAAAAACTGTCAAAAACTCACTTTTGAAGGTTATAAATTACTTTATTCTCCAAAGTAATACCTGGTAGGATCATGCCCATGATGTTCTGACATCTTAGTTTTGTATTTAAATTCCACCAGAATCACATAATGAAACAGTGACAAGACTAACGCACTTTCCGGAAGCACTTGTTCAATACAATGTGTGGGAAGCCATGGTTCTGGACTGAGTTCCTGTACTAAAAACCGCCAGATCAAACCAAAACAGAGTTACTCATGCTGGAGTTCCATGGCACCAGATAAAGTTGTTTACTTGACCTTCCAAGAAATCAGGACGGACAGGTAACAGCCAAAATCCCAAAAAGACCAGTTTTAGCCAGCATTCTAAGAAAGTTCCCTTTATTCTAACCCTGAAAGGAAAATAACTTCAAAACAACCGATCTGCTTTTTGTTCCTTATTTTTGCTTTTGTAAGTACCTAACTGCCTACAAAGCCAACCTCCTCTGCTCAGCTAACCAGGCTTCTTTTTACTGGAGCTACAGCAATGAAGAATTGGGAAGCAGTGCAGGAGACAAGCGGACAGGACAGAGTCCAAACACCGTCCCCCGACACTGCAAAAGAATACTGCAATACAGTGGGAGAGTAAAGGTCTTCGTGGTAAATGATGCTGGGTCAGCTGGATATTTGTTGGGGGAAATAAAATGTACTCTGAAGTTTATAGCATATATAAAAATCAATTCCACATGAATTATAGATCTAAATGTGAAAAGTAAAACAATAAAAATTTTACAAAAAACAGAATATTTTCAAGACCTTGCAATAGGCAAAGATTTCTCAAACAGAAAACAAAAAGTACTAAACATAAAAGAAAAACAGATGCATAAATTGCTAAAATGACTAAACTAATATTTAGAACTTCTGTTCACCTAAAGACACTATTAAAGTGAAAAGACAAGTTACAGAGAGGTGAAAGATATCTGTAATACATATTTAGGTATATACATATATTACAAACATACATATATGTGCAAAAAAATTCATCCAAACTGTAGTATATAGTGAGCCTCTAAAATTATTAAGAATTAATAATTATAAGAAAAACAGTAAGCCCAATAGGAAAATAGGCCAAAAAGTCAAACAGGTACTTCATAAAAGAAAATACCCAAATGGTCAACATTAGCATATGAACAGGTATATAACTTTGAGCCACTGGGCAAATACACATTAAAAGCATAATGTAACACTACTAGTTAAGCTACAGGATGCTCAAGTGATAAAGCCTATGCAAATATTTCAAAATCTGAAAAACTCTGAAATCTGAAACATTCCTGATCTTGTCCACTTCATACGAGGGACACTCAAACTGTCTTACATACCCACCAGAATGGTTAAAATGAAAACAAATAGTAAGTGGTAGTGAGGTTGTGGAGCAGCTGGAACTCTACACACTACTGATGAGACTACCAACTGGAACACATACTTTGGAAATATATGCATATAAAAATTGCAACCTAGGTATTTCTTTCCTAGGTATCTGCCTGACAGAAATACAAACATGTATTCACTGAAACATGTGAAAGGTCACAGACATACCATTTGGAATGGCTCCCCATTGAAAAACTATCCTAATCCCCACCACCAGCAGAACAGATCATGCTACGTTCACATAATAGACAGCATTAGATACATGACAATGGCAACAAACTATGACTACATGCACCAGTATGGACAACTTTCATAATACTGAATAAAAAAGACACAAAAGACGATAAAAGAGCACATACCATATGATTCCACAAACATAAATTCAATAACCTATGCGGTAAGAGGTCAGGATTGTGGTTACCATTTAGGGTAACATACTCCTGGAGAGTATGAGGTGAGTCCTCCAAGGCTGGGGATTATCTCTTTTTTTGTATCAATGCTGGCCATTCTTTGTACAAACTCATGAATCTATGGTCTTAGAATCTGCTGTATGACATGATTCCAAAAAATTGGAGCACACAAAAAATGAGGGTGCAAAGATGAAGAGGGATGTTAGTACATAAAAATAAAAATGTACACTTACGACTCTAGCTATTTGGCAGGAAGGGAAACAAATTTGTCTCTGAGTGTCACTGTAGCCAATGCAAACAGGACCATGCAATCAGTTAAATGATTTAGTGTCCATAAAATAAAAACGAAAGTAAGCAACCTGTGCTTAGGAGGAACAAAACTATTCTCAGAAGAGCTGGGAGTAATTTCTCCTGACAGTTCTCAGAGCAAGATGTTGTGTAACACAGCAACGTATGTAGTCAACCACTGCAGAAGCCACAGTGAGTGACACAACGACCTTCCCCATAGGCTGAAGCTGTAAAACCAAAGCACAACTCAAAGTGGCGAAGTGGGCAAATGCAGGATGTAGGGCAGGGAGGAGGGTGGGGAAGCAAAACGCTGCAAGGCAGGGGTGCCCCTCTGACGGTCTCAACAGATGTAGCACAGTAAGTGATTAACACACCCACTGGGGTTCCTCCCATAATTAGGGTTTCTCAAATCCAACTTTTGTTTTGCTTTGTTTTCAGTACTGGTGATGGAACTCCGTGCCCTGAACATACTAGGCAAGTGCTCTACCACTAATTACACCTCCAGGCCTTTAAAATTTTATTTTGAGACAGCGTCTTGCTACAGTTGCTCAGGCTGGCTTCAACCTGTGATCCTCCTTGGCCTAACGAGTGGCTGGTATTACAGGCATGTGTCACTGGCACTGGCACTGAGGAAATTAAGGTTTTGGTAAGCATTACCTGGTGGTGAGTTCAAGGTCATGCTTCTTCTCT